GGAGCAGGGGCAGTCCATTCTCTCAGGGGTTGGCTGTGGTGGCAACGAAGCTAGGATTTAGACTTGATCCAAGGGGCAGGGGCGCTGGCCTGGCTGGCAGAGGACGGTGGCAACTGAGGGGTGTACAGGATCGTGTAGACAGCTTGCTGCTCACCCCGACCATTAGAGACCCCACTGGGAGCACCTGCTTGGTGGGGGTGGGAGGGGTGGCAAAGGGGAGGTGCAGATGGCTCAATGCCCATCCTATCGCCATCGTAGATACCCCACTGGAAACACCTGCTCTCCCCGAGGTGCCCCCTCACCCAGCTGAGTCCGTTGGGAGAAGAGGCGGAGCCAGGCTCTCAGAGTGGGGGTGGCAGTGCCAGGTGTACCACTGAGCTCTGAGAAGCACCGCATGTGGACAGCGTGGGCGAGGGGGGGCACAATGGGCCTCAAAGGCTGGGGCTGGGTCCCCTCCCCGCCAAGCCTTAAATCAGTTCGCTCTGGGAGCACTGAAGCAAATGAGAATCATTTGCCACCTTGGGTTGGTTATGCAAATGCCCTGTATTCTCACAAGCTCCAGGGAGAAGCTGCTAAGTGATGAGTTTGTTGTAATTAGATCAGGGCAGCTTGAGGAGCCATTAGAGGACCGGAGCCAGGGCCCCGCTCTCTGAGAGGCAAGCATCGGGCTCTTCTCCCTGGCAGATGTGGCCGTACCTGCCTTGGGCTCTGTCATCAAAAGAGCCATGCTGGGTGGTGGCTTTCCGCAAGGAACTCTATGCGGGAGGGGGGCGCATGATCCTTCGCCAGGGAGGGAGGCGACATCCAGAGGGCGACCGTCAATCAGGAAGAGTGGGCGGGACGAGCTGTCAAAACTGTGATTTAGCAAAGAGGGAGCAAATGGCACAGAGAAAGACACCATGTGGAAGAGATGATGATGCAGTGAGAGGCGGAGACAAATAAAGACAGGGAGACTGAAAACAAACCAAGAAAACATGCACACACAGGTGGGTGGCAGACAGGCCCGCCCAGATTCAGTCTCTCATTTATTCATTCAACAAACGCGAAGTGCCCAGTGGCTGGGAGGCTGCGTTCTAGGCACTGGGGAGACCACACTGAAAATGGCCCATCCTTGACCTCAGGGAGCCCACATTCTAGCGCAGGGACACTGACAAGAAGTAAACAAGTGGGCAAGGTGGGCTTGGAGGGCCGAGGGGGAGGGCTGGGTGACGTGGGAATGAGTGACAGGCCTGAGGGCTGTTTAGCCGGGTGTCTAGAAAAAGCCTGCCTGAGAATGAGACCTGGTGGACAGTGGAGAACTGGAAGGGGCACAATGGTGATATGTTTGGGAAACAAGAAGGCAGCTGGTGTGGGTGAAGTGCAGGGAGCAGGGTGGGCAGCGGTGAGGTGGACAGGCCGGCAGGGGTCAGGTCCTGGGGGGCTTCATAAGGTAGGAGGGGAGGCCATTGCTTCGGCAAGAGGATGGCAAGAGTAATCACGCTCCCTGCTCTACGCAGAACAGACCACGGGGAAGAAAAATGGGAGGAAAGAGGCCAGTGAGAGGCTATTGCAAGGGCCCAGGCGAGAGATGACAGTGTCCAGAACCTGGGTGGTGGCAGTGGAGAGAGAAAAAGAGGACACGTTGAGGATGTATTTTAGCTGCAGCGCTGGCAGTCCTTTGCCGAAAGAGTGGATGTGTGGGGTGAGAAAACCGGAGGAGCCAGGTACAGCAACCGGGACGCCTGTGGCGCAGAGCGTGAGTGGGATCTTGGCACTACGTGCTGAGGAACGGGAGACCACGCGAGTGGCGCTGGACCCCCTGAACACCCAAGTGAGAGTTTTTCTTTCCCCTCCAGACAGAAATCATCCGGAAACGCCTCCACAAGGACATCCCCCACCACTCTGTCATCATGCTCAACTTCTGTCCCGACCTCCAGTCTGTCCAGCCGAACCTGAGAAAGACCTACGGCGAGTTCATCTTCCTCATTGACAGGAGCGGCAGCATGAGTGGGACCAACATCCACCGTGTGAAGGTACCTGTCAGGGGACCCCTCCCCCGGGGCCTAGCGCCCCAGGGTAAATCATCTGTGCTCCCCCCAACCAGCCCTTTTGGTTCCAAGAAGCCCCCTCTTCCACACCTGAACCACTTTCCCAAATGGCTCTCCATGACTAAAAGGAACAACTTTTAAAAATCAGTCTGAACAGAGACACCCACACTCAATGTGCTCCCAAAATAACCCCCTCAAGTGGTGTGAGCAGAGGTAGAACTGTTGTCCATTTACAAGGGGTGAAGTTATCGACTTTTTTCCTTGGCATTCTGCAAGCTTTGCCGAGTGCATGCTCAGGCTGAAACACCCCCGTAGGTACCGAGTACAGGGGGGTCCAGCTGGGTGCTGGATCCGGACAGTAATCCTATGAGGTGGTTCCTATTGTCACCATTTCCCCAAGGGGAAATCCCAGCCTGAGAGTTTCAGCAACCTACCCAAGTCACACAGCAAGTGTGGTCTAAGACTAAACCCATGTCTGTCTGACTGTCCCTATGCCCTGACATCAGAGACTCACTGGACATGACCCCTGGCTTCCAGGAATGTGTAGAATCCAGTAGAAAAGAATTGGTTCATTCTTTTTCCCGAAATGCCTAATATGTGCAAAATTCTGTGCTTGGCCGTCTGGAAAGACAGCAGGTTGTAAACTCAGTTCCTGCCCTCAAGGAACTCAGTCAAGCGAGGGGCACAAGCCTGCTAACCAGTCACGCCGGGAGCGTGGTCTCGCTGCTGTGGAGCATCCTGATGGGTGCAGAAGACAGAGTAATCAACCTCCCCCAGACACCCAGAGGCATCTCCTCCCCCCGGGAGATGTTCTCCTCAATTTCTGCATTATCCAACGCTCCCTTGTATTTCTAGCTGTGCAGATGTCTGCCTCCTCCTCTGGAGTTATGAACTCATTAAGGCAAAGGACCAGATCTTTGTTCATCTATCTCTCCCCATGGGGACTAGCTCTGTGTTTAGGCATAAAAAGCCCTCAGTCGTGGTTCATTGAACTGGGTAAAAGATCATGGTCTAAGAGAACATGGTCCAAGAAGGGAGAGGGCTCTTTTGTCACCTGAAATTTCACTCCTTCCCTAGTTTGTGCCTGGAGCAAAAACTCTTGTTTCCAGGGCAACAGGAGAAGCAAGGAGGAAAGAGGTGAGGTGGGACCTGTGACACCAGCTAGCTCCTCAGTCTTGCTATGACTGGGTTGTGTCTGGAGGCATGAGAGAGCAATCCTATATATGCGACCCAAGTTCCTGTGTGAGGCCTCTTGACCCTGGGATGTAGGACCGGTGGGTGCCTTCTCCCCGCCTCTGCCCGCGGTCAGAAACTAATATTGGCACAGGGAGCTGTCCACAGCCCTGGGTGCTGAAGTGCAGCTCCGCGCCGTGTGCATTCCATCCCACAGCTGGACCAGCTTCTAAGACGTCTCCACAGTTACTCTCACTATCATGGGGTCATTAGACATCCCTTAGGGAGCACTCAGTCCATGTTCCCTCCCTATTTTCAGGTAAGGAAACTGAGCCCCCGAGAGGCTGTTTTTCCCAGCGTCACAGCGCTACTGAGGGCGCCTACGCCTTCCAGATCCTGCTTCAGTGCTCCCTTTCCTTACATTGCTGGTCGAGACTTATACATGCTCTTTCTCTAAGAACAGCTCTCTTTTCTGATTATGCCATTTCTGCCGCGTGGCTTAGTAAAAGAGAAATGCCTGGGTTCCAGGATCAGTTCTGCCACTGACTTGCTATGTGGCTTTGGACAAATTGATTCTCAACTCTGGGTTTCATTTATACTTTCTATAAAATGAGAAGTGGAAATTAATACAGGAAGGGCAAACCTATGTCCTACGCCCCTCTGTTCCCCTCTCCCAAGCCCAGGCGGGCAGACAAATAATTGACCATGACATTCCTTTTCATGCTGAGTCTGGACTCAGTCTCTACAGTCTTCTCATCTCAGTGTTCCAGTCTGTTACCACCAGTTGAAGGGAGTTGGTTTATATGGAAATCCATTTCCTGAGCTGAAGACCTTTCCAACCTTGACATTCCAGAATTCTCTGACCACAATTTCCTCCAGGGCTCCTCTCACAGTGCCTTCCCCTTGGAGTCTCTCTGGCTCTCTTTTCCAGCTCGGCTCACTGACCCCAAGGTTACCCTTTCACAAATGGCTTTGCATTGGCACAACTCATTCTGCTACACATGCCCCTTTAAGAAAAAAAGCACAGGAATCGCTCAGGCCACACATCCCTTTCCCCACTGACAATGAGGCCATTGGGGGGTTGCTCACGTCACTAATTGTGGCCCATTAGGTTGAGATTTTAGGAAAAACCGGACTTAGGGAGGCAGGAGAGAATAGAAATCCAAACAGCCTTGCCGGAGGGGAAAGTTCAACCAATTTAATTTCCTGCAGCTGCTTTCATTCTTCAGCTGCCACTTGCTGCCAAAAACATGGCTCTGAAAATTCTAATAGGTGTGAGCAGAGACAATCTGTATGGATCAGCAGCATCTCCTGCTAGCAGGAATATAAGGTAGTGGCTAATGAAAGAATCAGCAGATAGGGACTTCTCTCACAGAGAAACAAAATGTACTGACACAAGCAACAAAGACGAAAGGGGACGTTTAATGTTAATGTTTACAGAGGGGGTGGGAGAGGGGCTGCATGCAGGTCCTTCTGGCATGGAAGTTGCCAGAATCCACTTACAGCTGTTTACTTTCTAGATTCCAGAGTGGAACCGTTTGCTTCCCTGAGAGCCACGCTGAGGTCCCGAGGCTGCCGTCGATAGACTATGTGGGCACGAGGGAGAGCCCTCCCCCTCCTGGGTGCTGTGCCAAGGCAGAGCCAACAGGAATGGAGGTCTCGGGGCTATGTTTTGAAAGCCTTAGACCCTGTTCTTAGGTTTTGTGACCCAGAGCAATTCCTTAATCCTCTGAGCCTCAGTTTCCTTATCTGTCAAGTAAAGGTATTGGCATTAATATGCATCCCATTGGGTGGATAACAGTAGCCACTTACTGACTGTTTATGACATGCCAGGCTGGGGCTCAGAGGAGTGACATAACTAGCCCAAGGTCAAGTTAGGAAGGGTGGAGGTGAAGTTTAAACCCAGACGTGTTTAACGTCAAAGTGAATCTTCCTAACCGCTCTTATAGAGATTAGATGAGATAATTATTATAAGGTGTTTATTACAGCGCCTGACATATAGTAATTGCTTTATATTTATCACTGCCTGGGATCATCATCAGTATCATCATTCTCCCTCCTGTCATCGCCATTTTTCTTCTTTGTCATTTTTTCCAATATAGCTTTATCAAGGTCTCCTGGTGTTGCATAAATAGGTTAAGATTCTAATGTTCACAGGCTTTGGAGGCAAAGTGACATGTCTGAGTCCTGGCTCCACTATTTACTATCTCAATGCTCACCAGCGAGTCACTCGCCTTTCTGTGCCTCAATGTTCTCTTGTATGAAATGGGGGTAATATCGTGCCTGCTCCAAGGGTCACTTTGAAGATTAGATGAGGTAATACCAGTAAAGTACATCCTGAGCACTCAACAAATATGACCTAAAGAGACTGTCCCAGGGGCGAATTCTGCAAAAGGCCCTGGATGAGAGCCAGAAGCCTGTCCTATCACCAGTGTGACCTGGACCAGGCCACATGCCTCCCTTAGACATCAGTTTTTGTTTTGGCGGAAAGGAGTGGGTGCTCCCTGCTCTCCCTACCGCGCAGGCCAGCAGGAGGTGAGATGTAACTGGCAAGCCCCAATAGAATGGCTTTGAAAAGTCAGACTTGCTACATGGATGAGAAATTTTATGAGATGGCTTTGGTCCAGCCTCAGCTCAGCATCAGCAAATTTCTGGATCTGGGGGGAAAGGCGATGTTGGGTGCAGATGGGGGTGGTGGTGCGAAGGCCTGTTTGGAGACAGACTCCGTGCTGGGATAATAATGGTGGTGTGTGGTGGCAGAAGTCACAGCTCCTTTCCAAATCCTGAAACTCCCTTTCTTGCCTGCCAGGATGCTGTGCTGGTGGCCCTTAAGAGCCTCATGCCAGCCTGCCTCTTCAATGTCATTGGGTTCGGATCCACATTTAAGACCCTCTTCCCTTCCAGTCAGACCTACAATGAGGTAAGGAAGGACAAGGCTGGGGCCAGGAGGGGGCGGGTGGTGAGGAACAGAGGAGAGGAAGGAAGGGTTTCGAAAGAGGCCTGCTCAAAAGCTGTCTGTCCACCCATGTAGGGCCAAAACGATACCCAGGAGCCAAGAACAAAAGAGAGGCTAACTCTGTTTAGGCAGTTTTCTGACGGCTCAGCCTTCTATCATCTTCCTCTTTAAAATAAAGACTCTGTTGGGCCAAGTAAGGGTGTGCACAGAGGGGGAGGTGACAGGGATGGGTAGAAAGAGAATGCCTATCCCAGGCCTGCCACTCACTGAAGCCTCTGTGTTAGGAGGACAATAGGTTCTGCAAGGTGGAGCCAAAGACGTGAATAGAGAGGAGTAGCAGAGTGAATAGGTGGGTGAGTGGGCTAAGAATGGGGCTCACAAGGCCCAAGGTACAATTTTAAACAACAGGACCGTGGCCCCAGCAGCATGTTAAAAATTGTAGCATCTTACCCAGGTCTAGGAGTTG